TAGATATTGGCACAGGTCTTAGAAATCTTTGATAATATTTATAATTCATTCTCTTTACTTAAGTTTAATTATCTCTCTTCCAACATTATATGCTTATAGTAATTCTTAGTAAAACTTACTATTCAGAATTATTATAATACTATTATTAATTTTGCAATATAAATAAGAGATCAAATACAAAAATATATAAGATAATATAACTTTACAATAGTAATGAGAGATTATAAAACAAATACAAGAATAACTTCATAATTAAGATAAAAGATTATAAAAATACTATCTAAAGGATTATTAAAAGAATATAAAACTTAATTGATTGATTATTATTTTTTTTAAGCTAAAATACAAACTGTATTTATAAATATTTAATAATTATAAAATAATCTTTTAAAATAATCATTCAGAGCATTTAAAATAATTATTTGAAATGATTATTTATAATAATCATTCAGAATGCTTGAGATAATCAGTTGGAATAATCATTTGAAATGATCATTCAAAGTGATTATTTAAAGTGATCATATAAAGTGATTATATAAAGTGATTATTTTGTAATCTAATAACAATAATATAATATTATTTTTATAAATTATAATTAAATTTCTTTATAGTTATATTTTATTTTAAATTATCTTTTTTAATTTTTTAGTTAACTATTTTTTTTAAAGTAATAATTATAAAAAATTTAATTAGTATAATATATATTATCTAAAATTATCAAATATTTATATTTTATAAAATATTAAACTTTTTAATTAAGAAATAAATTCCAAATTTAATTTTAATTGTATATAAAATTAATTATTTTTTTATATATTTTAATTATAAAAATAATTAGTTTTATATTTAATTAGAATAAATGATCAGATTAAATTTAAAATATCTAAAAAAAATCAATATAAAAATAAAAAATATTTATTAATAAAATTGAAAACTTTTATATATAGAGAAAAATATATATTTTTATTATATTAAATTAATAAATTTTGATATTATTACATTATTTTTGATTGTTACTATATTTAAATTTTTATATATTATTAATTAAAGCTATTTATCTAATTTTTATAATTTTAATAATTGTAAAATTATAAAAAATAACTTGATAAAATAATTATAATAACTTTTAAATTCTAATTAATATAATTATATTCAAGAAATTGTACTTAGAGAAATTAATTCTAATAATTCAGCTAAATAATAATATTATTTATATAATTATTAAATTAAATTTTTTATAAAATAATATTAATTTTTGAATTTAATTAGTATAAATATAATATTTTCAGTTTTTAATAGAAAAAGCATTTATTTATATAATATTAAAAAATATATTTAATTATAAAATAACTAAAATTTTAAATAACTAGAAATTATTAAATAATATTACTAATTAGTAATTAAATATAAATTATAATTCGATAATAATAAATAATTAAAATATAAAATATTAAAAAATTAAAAATTAAATATGTATTATAAATTATTATATTAAATATATTAGATATTTATTATAAAATACAATATTTATCATAATATTACAATATTAAAATATTAAAATATTTGGACTTTAAATAATTTTTTGTATCACAATATTATATAGTTAAAATATTTAGAGTTAGAGTTTGATTAAGTTAGGAATTTTATATTGTAAGTTTAAGTTTAATTTCTGAAAAATTTTCTAATATAAAAATATTTATTAAAAATCAATAGAAATATTATTTGATAACCGGATATTGTATTATATTATTTGAAATTAATCATAAATATTTCTCTTATTTTTAAATATTCTTGAAGAAGTTTATATAATCAACTTTGTTATACTGAAACACTAATTAAAACTAGCATAAACCAAATTTAATTCTTCTTGACAAATCAAAGTTGATTCAGGAATTATTAACTTTATGAAAAATTGAGTTTGATTTTACCCAAAAAATTTACAGTTCTATTAAAGATATTGCAATTTTTCTATATTATAATATAAATTTTTAATTTTAAATTTAGAATCAAAAAATAAACTCGAATATATAAAAATATAAATTAACTATATTACACGATATCTCTGGAAACAGTGGTTTAATTCAAATAAAATTACCACCAATTTATTCGCCTTGGTATGATAAATCGCATAGTGATAAATTCGATTGAATCGGATCACCGGTTCCTGAGATATAAAACGTTAAATTTATTAGAAATAAATCGGGATATATGAAAAATAAAATTTAACGTTTTTACACGATATCTCGGGAAGCAGTGAAGCAATCCAATCGAATTTACTACCTTTCAATTTATCATATCAAGATTAATGAAATGATGGTAATTTTATTCGAATCAGACTACTGCCGCGATAGCAGTAAAATTTTATATATTCCGATTTTCTTCCAATTTTAAAATCCGGAAAAATTCAAAGTTCCGGAGAAAAAACAAATTCGATTTTTTATAGGGTAATAGTAAACCTGTCTCGATAACCGAATTTATTAAATAAACCTTGATAAAATAGATTTTTTAAAATTTTCTGCCACTTCGGGTTAACAGAGTTGGTTGTATATTGTTTGTTTCATAAATACTAAAGAAATTGTGTGATATATATGTAAATTTAATGCATTGGAATTTGTGATGCATTAATGAAGTAAAACATTATCAATTTATTATTACCAAATGTCCAAAAACAGTTAATATTGCCTTGTTAAATGTAGTTTAGTTATAGACTTTCTCTAGCATAATAAATAACTTTGAAAATTATTGATTTCAATTCATAAGTATGAATAATAGGAGTCTGGGTTTTTAACAGCAAACTAGGATTACAAAAACAAAGTAAAATTTTCTTTAATATGTGCTTAAAATGGGATGTACCTGATTCCCCAACACTCATTACTCGGCAGTAAATTTACCCGAACCAATTTACCGACATGACGTTCCCCGAATGGAGATTTCCCCGACATGACGTTTCCCCGACAGGAAGTTTCCCCGAAAAAATGTTTCCCCAACATGATGGATACTGTGACATAATGTATTAACTGGTTGACTTTGCATGTAATTAACAGGTTAGGGTTAGACTTAGGATTATATGTAAAATTTCCTCCCCAAACTTTTTGCTTAGTGCATCAAGCTATCAGGAAAATTTTATGGCGGGATATGGATTGTCAGGGATATTGCTTCGGGGGAAAGTGATTTCGGGTAACTCTACCGCACCCCTTAAAATTGAGTAGTGATATACAAGTAGCAAGATACACATTGCTCACTATATTTTAAGGCATGTCTACTGGTAGGTATTAATATATTTTTAAGGTCAGTGATAAAAGTAGTCCAGTCACATTTTGCATTGATTTGTCTAAGTCACAATATGAACACATCCAAATATTGAAAGAGTTTACTGTCTATTAAAAATGTAAACCGTTGCCCAGTCCGGTTCATATGCAATGGCTAGGTTAACAATTCAACATGACCATAATGAGAATCACCACTTTCACATTTTAATAGAACAAAGAAATTAACAAGTACAAGGCAAAACTCAATGAACCATAAGTGATTGGGACTACTAATAGAGAATTTTGAAAATTCGATTTATTGAGAAAGATATCCGTCTTGGAACCAACTTCGGTTTAGTTAGTAATTCATCTTATCTTCGAGAGTACTTTTTGTTTGACATAAAAGCGATTCCAAATCTCTATTTTTCTTTAATTGCTAAATGCGTCAACATTCACCCGGAACACGAATCCTAATTATACATGTATTACTGTTCAGCTGTCCCTCCATATAATCACCTCCCATATAGTCACACCCTCTCTACAATCACGCTTTTAGCTATTATCATAGGAAATTTTATCACCGTATACGGCAGTGTTGTCGCTTGGACGTAAATACAGCCATTTGATTGGTCGGGACACTTATCCCAGCCAATCAAATTTCTGGGTTTACGTCCAAGCGACAACACTGCCGTATACGTACCGGTACGTAGTTACAACCTCTCTAAAACCACCTTTTTTCTGGTGCCAAGAGTGTGATTATATGGAGGGATGACTGTACTTTAACTTGGACACATGAAAAATCAGTTCACACTTGAAACAGATTATCTAAAAAACGGTTTGCACATGCATGAGTAATTTGTCCCGCATGATGCATATAATCGATCGAGGTACAGCAGTATTGTTTGTGAATGGGCTGAGCTGCAAATTTTGTTTCATTTATGCAAGAGATAAAGAATAATTGATTGTCTGCACGTGTATTCAATGTAAGTAAACATGTTATCATTACGTATTAGCGTTAGCGTTAGGTTTTGATTTTCGCAAAAGATTTGACAGATCATTACGTATACCATAAATTATTTGCAAATACAGTTTTCACGAAACCAAAGCCCAATCAAATCTAAAATTATTCTAATTTTTCAGATCACTCATGTTTGCGAAAAGACAAATTTTAATCGAAGAGAAATTAGAAATTATACTGAACCGCTAGAAAATTTATTTTTGTAGACCAGCATTCTCTGACACCAATACCAATTAAACCAAGAGACATAAAATTCACTTCGCATATCTTTATTTTATTCAAAGAGTATAGATCCACTTCACAACCAAAAATTTTTTACATTTTATTTTTTTTTTGGAATGCCTAAATAATTCTAATTCAACAAAACTTGAATAATTAAAAAATAAAAAAATTGGAGTTTAATACTGCGAGAAATTTTCCAAAAAAATCACCCTCATTTTTCTGTATTTGACAATTTAATCCCACCCATTTAATTACATAAATATGCACTCAAAGACCATTCAAAGATGAAGAAGATGATTTCGTCGGAGTTCTAGCACGTAAAGAATATCCTAAATTCTTGATTCTCTGTGGCGTATGTTGAGGACTATTTGTTCTTTCTTCAAGAGGATTGTATCTAGCTTTTTTGGTCGGCCGTGGAGACGGAGCAGTATCCTCGGGATCGCTATCACCAAGTATAGTCTCTGTGGGCGAAAAACAATCGTCCAATTGATCAACGACCACGCAAGAATTTTCCACACTATATAGCTCTTCATGTTTATTAACCTTGTCAACTTCTTGCTTTATCTCTGTTTGAGATTCATAATAGGCTGATGCTGCTTTCAATGCATTCTTATATTCATTTTCGAATATTGGCAAAATATCAAGTTGTACAAGCCACTCGAAATACGTGGGATAAATGGATGCTTCAACCTGTTGATTTTGATTATTTTGAGGTTGTAGTCGTTCTACTTCTTTACCCTTAATTGATTTTCTTTTCTTTGTTTCTGCGGTTGTCGGTCGATATCTTTTGATGTATCGGCATCTTTCCCAGTACTCACGCTCAAGACTAGTCGAAATTGCATATTGATATTGAATTGATTTACTTTTTAGCCAAGGTTTTTCTTCAGCTGGCTCAAGATTAATGAATTCATCTATTTGTTGGCTGACAGATGGAATCCAATAATAGCGTAGGTAATCGCCAAACAAATCCTTGAGAGTTATAGGAATCAGAATTTTAATAATTGATTCGGGAAAATCCCATTCATAACGGATGGTTCTTTCGCTATTTTTAACATAGATAATAAGTAAGCGAAAGATCTATAATAAAAAAATCACTTCAAAAATGAGCTAGCAATTACCTTATTGTATTTTTATTGAAACAACTGGTACAACAAATCACGAGAGGATTCCAATAGATGGTGGCACTCTTTGACAAATCGCCGCAAACCTGGCAACCATTCTCACTGTATATCATACTAACATATGTCTGTTCAGAGATACCCAAAGGCGGGGGCAATTGATAAAATTTACAGAATGTGACTCGGGATTGTTTCCAGATTTGTTGGGTGATTGAGTCAATCGGCGACTTGAGAAGATCATTGAATTCTTTGCAAGTCAGTCGGAGCGACACCAAATTTAAAGGCTCCAGATGACTACAAATATTGGTAAAGATTTCAATACGATTTTTTATCAAGTCGAGTACGAGAAATTCCCGCTTTTTTTGTTCTTTTTTCTCCACGGATTTTATTGTGATTGGTGGCTGTAGAAAGTTAGTTGTCGTTGGTGTTGATGCTGTTGGTAGTGATGATGCTTGGTGTTGCTTGATATGTACAAGTGGCTGTGATGGTATTTTGATTACTTCGATGTCGTTGTTGTTGTTGTTGATGTTGATGTTTACGGAAGATCCGTTGAAAGTGGATAAATCATCTTTTAGCATATCGACTTCTTCGGATTCGTCTATTGTTATTCTTGGATCAAAATGCATATTATCCATTTTTACCAATCTACCAATGAATGCAAAAATTTTATTCCTTAACATTAAAAATTTTTAATCAACTAAACTTACGTATTTCTACTTTATTTTATTTTTGATTTATTCTTCAAACAAATTACTCACACTTTATAGCTATTTATGCACTGCTGACAGACTAAGATATGTGTGTGTTTTTTTAAAAAAACCAAAGCGTACAAAAATATATTGAGATTGCAAGGGAGGGATGCAGTTTCCTTATAGAATCATTTGTATTTATATCTAACGCTAAAAGTCACCCCCCAAAAAATCACACGCGCGTACACACAGAAAACATTTAAGGAGGTCACAATCGATTATCAATCTGCATAATCACCAAAAAAAAACAACAAATAATGTAAACATATCAAGCATTGTGCTAAGTGCATTCTCATCAGTCTACGACGAAAATATTGATTTATTAATTTATCATCGTCATTGTCTACGTCACCGTATTTTTTTGCACTTACAAAGACTTTCTTGTTTTGGATAAGGTATTAATATGATATATTATTTATCTCATACACAGAGTTTGGACTTACGTATAAACTTACAGCACTATATGACTTTACACATAATTAGTATATTTACCAGAGTTTATCATTTTATAAGTTATTCAATCTATTTACAAAGTTATAAAATTCTTTATTTCTTAAATCATTATCAAAGTGCCGTAAATTTAAATATACTCGGCCAATCTGTTAAACTTAAGTGGTCAGAAAGTTTTAAAAATTCGGTTTTATTATAACTGTTCCTGGACCAACTTCGATTTATTGAGGCGGTTTACTATAACTGTTCCTGGAGTCAAATTCAGTTTATCCAAGTTTTAATTGGTTTAATGGGGGGGGGGGTTGACTGTGTATAAATTACAGTCCAATATAATTATGAAATTATATTTCCAGTTACAGTGTTGAGCTATAGCTTTTAATGAATACAATATATCTAAGGATGCAAAACCTGTCTAGACTGGATTACACTTCACTAGATTTTAATTTCTAAACATTCGGATATCCGGTTTTCAATGCTAAATCCATCTGACCAGTTTAAATATAAACCCGTGCTGTATTTGAATCTAGATTAATGTTTAATTCGGCTTTTAAACAGGCTTATTCAAAACTCTGAAGCTGGATTAAAGTAACAAACATATAATCGGTTGTTAGCTCTAAATTCAGATATTCGATTTGTTTAAAAATTTTGGACTGGAAAATTGGTTTGCAAATTTTGAAATTGGTTTACGCTATTTTGTAGTCATTACAAAAGAATATACGTAATAAGTATCTGTATATATCATCAAATAAATAAATGACACTCAAATTTGATTATTATCTTCACTTTTAATACACTAATTCTAAATATTTATTATTGTTGTTCAATTTAAGTACTGTCGCTTTTTATTTATTTACTTTCGATAAAGTCTCATATTCGTCTTATCTAATACAAAATTACTTAGCAATTTACTGCATGTTAATTAAATTTATTATACTATTTTATATATCGATACCGGCAAATTTATTTGTTTATCAGGGATGATAATTAGGAAAATGATTTTAACCTAATATTGATATTACCGTATCGTATATGACAGAACATAAGCAACCCCCATTTGGGGATCAATTGCAAATACCGGATATAAACAAATTCAAATACTCATGTATTCGAATAATAAGTAACCACTTTTGCAGGTGGGATCGCAATTGGTTGCATCTTAGTCGCAATTTTCTGATTGGCTGTCACAATTAATTGCAATTCTCTGATTGGTTACCGCGAGTCGCAATTAATTGAGACGCTATCTTTAGATGAAACACCAAATTTATTGGTTGTTTGTGTTCGGTCATACACGGTAGTAAAGCGTGCTCTATAGAAAAATGGCTGACACTTGTTGACATTTTTCTAGAGTTTTTACTTGTACAAAAATTCATCATCGAATAAACTGGAGACAAATGTCGATCATTTATATCTTCAAATTCACCAATGAATTATGTAAATGCAGTTCCGGCAGAAAGTAATGGCGGTTGGTTTGTTTAAAAAAATACATGATATATTCTCCTTCCATGTCAAACAAGGTTGGACATTCTAAAAATATTATAAATGCTATATCTGTAATATCATTTCGATTTTTTCTCTAAATGTTTACTTTGCTAATATTTTATATACAATTTTTTAAGCTAAACATTTTTTTCTTAATGGTTGGTTTGAGTCAAAAAGATGATTTATCCCTTAATAATTAACTCTGTTACAATTATCAGATCGGGATATATATTGCAGCACTCAAATGTTAATTTGGGAGATTCATAGAGATATCATAAATTTTTTTATCCCGATCTTTTTTAACAAGAAGCTGAAATTGTCCCACCATCACTTTCGCCAGAACTGTACCATATAAATTTGCTTACAGTGCCCTCCACTGTAAACCTTGCTACTTAATTTAATCTCGAAGCCATTCTTTTAGTAATAAGAAATTGCACTGTGAATCTTGAATTATTTATTTGGCAGAAAATGTTATTGTTTATTGACTAAATTGAGGTTAAATTTTCTACCGGATAGGGCACTTTAAGCGGTGTTAATAATCTAAACGTAAAAAGCAACAGCAATGAGCAAGCCAATGATCAAATTCTACTATATATCGATATCGCAAAATTTCACTAATACTATTCATTATTAGTTAAAAAATCAAAAGAACAATAAAAAGTTCAACTTGTAATTTGTTTAGTCATTCGCATGATTCTATAACCTTTTTATTTTGTTACATACACATACATTGTCTCTTGAGACCAATGTTATAGTTTTAAATTTACCCTAGTTACGGATCCCTGAACCGATAATTGCATTAATACTTTTGTCATGATGTCAAGAACTTAGAAATCGAATTTTGCAAATTATTTAAAGAAATTTACAAATCAAGCAAAAAATAAGGTGTTTAATTTTGGAAAATAATAGTCAGGCTCGATTCAGTGACATACATGTGTTGGGCACTTGGTGTTGTCAATTCAATTGTTCTTTGGTTTGCCGATATTCATGTTTTTTCACTTACTTTATATTAAAATGGAAACAGTACTTACAACGTAAATCTGTATTCTGATGAATGAGATTGTTGGATTGAAGAGCTATATTGTATTGTTTATGTGTTGTGGGTTTCTTGATTTCAACACAACGTTAAGAAAACTTTTTTTATTAGTGCTTTAGACAAGAGAAAAATATGAAAAGTATAGCAACACGTATTTAACTGTAACCCTCAATATGGGAAAGTTATTGGATTGAACAAAAGAAACTTTCCTTTATCTTATATTGAGAGATTCTTAATTGACCTTCTTACAAGAGATTTTTAAATAGATTGGTTTTGAAATATCCTTCTTAAATCGAGAGTGACATTAGAATTTTTCGACCATGTAGTCATGCAAATTGTAGTTAGGAAATCTGAGAATCTAGAATTCAATCAATACGTACGTTATACATGTATATACATGTACATCAAATAGATAAATTCGTGTCAAAACATATACATGTACATGTATTTATTTTTTATCTCATAAATTTATCTAATACCGTAGAGCACTGCCTATAGTACCTGGGGTACTACACACGGCGTTTACTAATTTCCCCAAGTTCTGATTGGACACAAGTAATTTCCATCGCTGATTGGTTAACTGCACACCGGGTCTTTTAAATCAACCAATAAAAATACATATATTTTTGATCAACCTGGCAAAACAAATCCGATACAAGAAAATTAAAAAGACGAATAATGTGAAAAATACGGAAAACAAATGCTTAAACCTGGCTTGAAGTACTAATGAAAAATATCGGGGAGACAATTTTACATGTGATATTTTTTCCAGCCCTAACCCTTAATCTTAACGCTAAAATCAACCTTTAATATCCTCAACCAAATCAGAACTTGGGGGATTAGTAAACTCCTATACATGAGTGGAGTACTAGGGAATACAGTACATTTCTTGGTAGTAAATTCGGCCAGTGTAAGGACGATCAAACATGAGTCATGTATAAAATTGGCTGGTATTTATTTACATCGCAAACCCCTCGAAGTGTAAAATTCCCATGCTATTCTAAATACACGTTTTTCACGTCATTTCACGCTGTTCCGCTTTTTCTCGATTTTCAAAAAAGCAAAGTGAACCAAGTAAGTTGTTTTTATTACTGAATAAAATTGTTAAGTAAGAGTAAGGCGCTCTTATTATTGTGAACTATGATAGAATGGTCCATGGTAACTTGCAGACAAAGCATGCACGTCTCACTCAAAAAAAGCGACGCCTGGGAAAACTAATGATCGTTGCATATCATGAACATGGTCATAGTGTCGTTCCACAGCTGAGAAATTTGATGTTCAACCAAAACAACTTTCTTATTGGCGAGCCAAAAAAAACTTCAAACAGTAGCGCCTCATGTTCGTCGAGTTAACCAAGGCGCCCGAGCAAAATATTGTTACAGTAGTAACAATAATTCACGAAAAAGTCACAAATTTTAAAAATAGTCAAAAAACAGAAAACTTCCAAAATTAATCAAATTTACAACATAATTTACAACTTACAACTTTAATTACAATTTTATTTATATTATCAATTATTCTCATTATAAAAATTTTTATTTGCAAAAAATGTATAAATAGAAGTAGTGTTTAAGCTTTGAGTTGACATGTTAGAACTTGAAAAATAAATAATATATTAAACAAAAATCTTTATCTCAATATTTCACCTCTTTTATTCTTAATTATATATTTTAAAGCTTGTATACAAATGGCTTTGAATCATATTGAGCCTATCAAAATGCTATTATTGGAATTTTTGGAATTATTGAATAAGTATTTTTGTTATTGACTAGTTATTTGAAATTTGATATTTTGATATTTTTGATATTTTATTATATTGGTATTTTTTACTAGTTAAAGATGTAATATTCCTTATTTATAAATTGAAAGAGTTTTTGTTATTTTTATTTACTAATTGTATTTTTTCTGCTCGAGAATACTTGATGCTAGTACAGAGAATTAGAATCTAATTAACACAACAGAATTTCTTGATATTTTTATTATAGTTTATAATATTTATCTCTCTTTGAATCTTCATTCTTTTATAACTCTCATATATTTTTACCTTCTCTTTAAACTATAACAAAATTTTAGTAGAAATTGGTATATAACTTAGATATTTACTTTTTTTATATTAATTTGTCTTCTTGTTTAACTAATTTATCAATTAATGAACAAATTTGTAATAATATTCTAAATTAGAAAGTATACAAGTTCAATAATTTAAAGATTTATGTCAAGATTTAAAAACTGTTACTTAATAGATAATTCAAATAAAGCATGAGATATAAAATGAAAACCTGGTAATAATAATGATAATAATAATATAGATTTGAGAATTGTAGCTAAAATACCTTTGCCAATAGCTCTTCGAAAGCCACGTCGTGTAAATAAATAAGCAAGTTATTATTTGATTGATTAAAAACTTTGGTTTCCTTCAATGTATTTTGTCACATTATGAGTTTCATCAATCGTCATGAGTTTCGTCAATTGTCACGGGTTTCATCAATCGTTATGGATTTTGTCAACGTCATGAGTTTCATTAATCGTCATGGGTTTCGTCTGATAATGACGTGATGAAATGTTTCGTCATCATGAAAATAGTTTCATCAGGTATGTATCATTAAATATATCGATGTCTAGTGATTAAATTTGAGTGAAAAGACCATTAGTCGATTTTTCTAATTTAGGCAAATCAAACCATGGTATTGTCACTCAAATTGAATCACTGGATGTTGAGATATTATGTCCTAAAGTGACCGATTCATATTTAGTGATCAATTTTTCATTGCCAAAAAAAATGAATCAGTCAATTTAGGACGTGATAAAAGCGAAAGCGATACTATTAGAAAACTTGTTGTTTTCAATAATATCTTTAAATTATAACAATAAATCTTTATAATCACGCTATCGGAATTTTTTAAAAAATGTGTGCTTCTAAAGAGGTATGCTTATTTATCTATAAACTTGATAATAAATGATCTCATGTATAGGTGCGCTTATAACGAGGTTTTTATATAATGTGTTTATAGAGAAAGTGATTAAACGGTACATCAAATTATTAGCGTTTCGACTGTCCTTTAGAAAATGTAGAAACTCAAAACTGACTACACGAAATCACAACACCACAACATGAACATCAGCAGAGTAAATTCGATTTTACGCTATTCGTATTGTGTATTTTCATGTCATGATGATGCAATGTTCTTTTAATGATACACGAGAAAAACTACATGTATACTGTACTTCAAAATACATGTAGTTAGATTATTTTATTTGTATATATACATTGCCCTGAAAATTGAAATACATACTATTTTTAATTTCCAACTCGATTCAAATTTTGTTGCAAGTTTTATGAAACGAGTCTCGAACAACTAATTTAGCTACTTATCGTTATGTTCAAAATAATCGCATTTCTGTTTTTGGTAGCGAATTAGACTATGTAATGCATGCTACACATTTAAATGAGTATTGCATTTTCTATCGGAGTTTTTCTGTATACGATTATCTTTTAAATAGCGACTGGCTAAAAAACAATACATTTTACGCATAATTACTGTACAGTATATTTTTTGGTGCAAAGTTGTATGATGTCAACAAAACCTAAATGTTTCGCCTTTTTCTTTAGGTAAAAATCTAAAACAAGAGTAGTGAAGTAAAAACGAACGAGAGCTTATTGTATGCATTTCAAGTGTGTGTGCATCAATAGGTAAATGGTTATAGATCTGCATGACCATCATTGTAAATAAATACGTTCAATCCAACAATCATGTTTTCTAATTTGGAACCATTGAAAGAAAATTCATAATGGTTACGGACGTATAAATATATTAGTTTAGAATATCAACGTCAAACAATGTTCTATTTACGATTAGCGTTAAGTCAGTTTTTGTTAATTTGTCGCGTGTGAATATGTAACCCTTGAAATTGAATCTCCTTTCTCTATAACGGTCACAGGATATGTTCAGCAAATGCATAAAGCATTGTTACACTTATCGTTATCGTTATATGTTTCTTAATAAAATAACGGAAATCACAATTCGCAACATCATAATATTAAAAATTCACCTATTTCATGAAATTAATTTCAAGTTTTCTACTTTTTATTGCTATACATGTAATTGAAATAATTTTTAAAAGATCTTTGCGTAAAAACAGTAAATTTCAGATAATTGTACGTAAAATATATATTAGTTAAATGAATACGTACGTTTATCGTTATTACAAAATGCATAGAAATGAGGGTCGCACCATTATTACATGTACGTATATCGATATGGCAAGTATGATAGACAAAAACTGTACAATCCGTATTACTCATACTAGCAAGTGACGTTGACGCGAACGAATGTACAATCCAACAATCATTTTTTCTAAATTGTGATATGTGATTCTGTATAAATTCTTTTATTGTCATTCTTCCTTTCTCTATAAAATTGTGAACAATTCAACCCTTTCCAATAGTGGAAATCAACAAATTTCATATTTTATAAGATCCCCTTACATATTTCATTTAACGCTAAGCAATTTAGCCAAGACAAACATGAACAAACAAAGCTCTCCCATGTTTTTTTTGTTGCTCTGATCTTCTTCATCTCTTTGGCTAGTGCCGTGCCAACATGCAGTCAATCTACCCGCCGTTGCCTATTTATCCCACCAAAAATTAACGGCGAAATTATTTTTCAAAGACAGGTCGATTGCTCTGTGATAATCGTTGGACAATTCAATTTTCATCCAGATGAAATGAATTTACCAATTGAATTGAAAAATTACGATATCCAGCTTACCTTAACCGGAAATACCGCAATTCCTATAAATCCTCCCGTTAAAAGCCCACCATTCCGACCAACTCAAATTAACGAGGCCTTTAGATTCACTTTAACCGATTTTAAGGTCCCTTTTGATACGATCACAAATTACTATTGTGTACTGGCATACGACGATTGGAGTCGTTATACAGGAATTCCAGGAAGCGAGGATGTGGTTCTTGGATCTGCCAAGATCGAACCTGTACCTTAAATTTTTGTTTTACTCTTCTGCTTTATAGATATAATTTGTATATATACAAAGCGTACCTTTTATCGTTATCAATCAAATAAAGAAGATGATTAGCATTAATGCTAATTATAAATTTATAATCAATAATAATATGTCGATTGTGTTGTGAATTTACCAGCATACGTACATGTAATGTGAATGTGTCAATATTAATGTCAATAAAGATAACACATTTGAAAACAGTTCAGATGATAACTTTAACATTATTGTGGAATAGGAAAGAAAAACCAAAAACAAAGACTTGAATTGTAGTACGAATAATAATTTTACTGATAATAGTAGAAATAATAATAGCAATAGTAATTTAGATCTAATTGAAAAAATCATGAACATGCTACAATGAGAAGAAATAAAATAGCATACACATATAAAAATATTATATATAATAACAAATTACAATTATATTTAGTTGTTGTTGATATTCTATATATTTTATTATCTTTTGTCTTTATCTTAATGTTTACGGATTATGAAGTGAAATTTAATACGTGTGCATGCATTAACGACAATAAAAATTAACTGTATCAGTGACAATAATTAAGCAAATATCAAAATTTAATGTTTCTTTGTTTTTTTTTTTTATAAAAAATGATTATAAGTTACTATATAAAAAATTAAAATAATCAAATTGAAAAAGTTATTGATTAATAAAATTTTTTATTTTTATTTATATATAATAAAAAAA